AATTAAAATCTCGGAAATTTTTCCGCCATCATCACCGTGAAATCACAGGGTCACACTTTTTTGCAAAGCGCAATAATACTATCTTTGATGAACCCTCGAGAATTATATTTGATGATCAAGATTCCAAGACTATCTTCATAAATGAGCTTTATTCTAATCTTAATCAGATGCTTAACAAAGGCGAATCCGTTCCCAGGACAATTAAAAATTACATCTCTAAAAAATGGAAAATCTGCTAATGATAATTTAATTTGGCTACATCTTAAAATGAGCCAAAATACATTTGTTTTCGTGGAATATTTTGTATGCGGAAAATTGGTTGAAAATAACACAGATGATTTTGGTTTATTCCTTGATGCAGCAAATGGGAATGATATTATTGCTATCTATTTTGTTGGAAGATGCTATGTATTTGGTTAGAACACAAAAAATAATATAAAGGAGGCAATTAAATGGTAATGCAATTAAAAATGGGTGTGCTGCAGCAGAATGGAAGCTTGGAGAATATTCTAAAGCATTTAAATTGTTCAGAAGCGCAGCCGACAAAGGTAATATGGTGGCAATGTATAATTTAGGATTGTGTTATAGAAAAAGCCACGGAAAATATGAGCGAAGGGTTTAAATATCTTAAGCAAGCTGCTGAAATGGGAGAGCATAATTTAACGTATGAGCTTGCCCGATGTTATGCAGATGAACACCAAGAGACTTGTACAAAGCTTCAGAATGATATCAAAAAGCTACTGAAAGTGGACTGGATTTCCGTAGCTATCGTGGACAAGTCACTGCTAGAATCAAGAGAGGGTTATCTGAGTCAAAATGCTGAGTGTTAATATACTTGGATGTATTAAGCTTAGCATTCATTAAATGACTATACTAAATCTTTTACGTATTTGTTAACCATAATTATTTAGATTTTACTAAAACGCACCTATGGTGTTTTTACACCTATGTATATATTATCTCAAAAACTGGCTAATTGATCAGTGCTCTACGCCTCTAAAAACCCCTCCCAAACCCTAACCTTCCAACACTAACATAAAATTTTGTGTTGAAAATTTTTAAATTCAAAACTTAGAAAAATCGAAAAAATAAGAATTTTACTAAAACGCACCTATGGTGTATAACACCATAGGTCCCTATTTCTCAAAAACGTACTAAGTAAACGGGATCGGGTACTCTAAGTAAAAATGTTCAGGACCCCAATAACCTCGCGAAAACTGAGATCGGGACCTTTTATTAGCTCTATATTATATTATATAAAAAAAAAATTCTTATACCCGAACACTAACCCTAAATTTTATCATATCGGCGGATTTGTGGAATTTGATAAATAGTAGTTCTGGTCAAATTTGCAGATCATTTGGCCAGCTTTTAAAAAAAAATTTCAAAACTGGCTAAATGACCTGCAAATTTGACCAGAGCTACTATTTATCAAATTCCATAAATCCGCCAACATGTTAAAAACAATTATATATGGTGCTAAAACACCACAGGTGCGTTTTATAATAATTGAAAAATAGTAGGTGCAAAACCACCATAGGTGCATTTTATATAAATAAAATTTATATATGACAATAATATGTCATCATAAAAATATATCTATTTCAGAGTTGGCAAATAGAAAAATAGAATAAAAGCTTTTTTTTGTCCTTATATAAAAAAAAATTTTTTTTATTAATAATTTCAATTATTTAAATGACTTTTACCAAAACGCACCTATGGTGTTTTACATCTATGTATATATTATCTCAAAAACTTGTTACTTAATCAGCGCAAGATGTCCTAAGTAAAAATGCTCTACGCCTCTAAAAACCCCTTCCCAAACCCTGACCTTAATACTAAATACTAACATAAAAATTTTGTGTTAAAAATTTTTATATTTAAAGCTTATAAAAATCCAAAAAAAACATAATAAAGCATACGAAGGTGCAAAACCACCATAGGTGCGGTGCGTTTTATAATAAATTTTTAAATACATATCTGATATTGTTAGACCGTTAGTAAAATAATAAATTTATATTTAATTAAATAAATTTAGTAAATAAATTTTTATTTGATTCTATATATCTGTAAAATTAAAATAAAAAAAGTTCATTGAATTTGGTTTAGTGGTTGTAGAGAAACCTTTGCTAGAAGTTTTGAAAAAGCTTGAAATATCTTGGAAAGAAAATCTAAAATCGGAAATTTTTTCTTTTTGAAATTTTAAACGATGATTTCTCAACACCCATATATCCATTTAATGAACATTTTTCTATTTTGATTCTGCAAGTACATAGGATTAAAATAAAAAAAAAACTGATTGAAATTGAATAGACAGATGTTGAGGAATATTGATTAAAAGCTAAAAAAAAAAATTGGCCGAGCTTTTTTTCTACGGACTTCTAAAATTTGAATTAAGATAACTCGGTAGTTACCTAATCAAATTCGATCAAATTTTTTTTATTTTTAATTCTATGAGATAATAGAATTAAAATAAAAAAATTTTAATCGAATATAATCAGGTAAATGCTGAGTACTCTTCTTTCAAGGTTTAGATTTCCGTAAAAAAAAAAGCTGCGGTCAAAATTTTTTTTTTAGCTTTTAATCGATATTTCTCAACACAATTTCAGTAAATTTTTTTTATTTTAATCCTACACACTGTAGAATAAAAATAAAAAAAAAATCCATTGAATTTGGATATATGGGTGTTGAGAAATCATCGTTTAAAGTTTTATAAAAAATTTTAAAAAAAGAATATTGCAATAAAATTATTTATTTAAACTTTAATCGATGGTTGCTCAACAACCATCTATCCAAATTCAATGAATTTTTTTGGTTTGATTCTGCAAGTACATAGGATTAAAATAAAAAAAATTTGCTGAAATTGAATAGACAGGTGTTGAGAAATATCGATTAAAAGCTAAAAAAAAAAAAAATTTAACCACAGCTTTTTTTTTTACAGATATCTAAGACTTGAAAGAAGATTACTCGATCATATTCGATTAAATTTTTTATTTTAATTCTATTATTTCATAGAATTAAAAATAAAAAAATTTTGATCGAATTTGATTAGGTAACTGCTGAGTTATCTTCATTTAAATTTTAGAAGTCCGTAGAAAAAAAGCTCGGCCAAAATTTTTTTTTTTTAGCTTTTAATCAATATTTCTCAACATCTTTCTATTCAATTTCGATCAATTTTTTTTTTATTTTAATCCTATGTACTTGCAGAATCAAAATAGAAAAATGTTCATTGAATTTGGATATATGGGTGTTGAGAAATCATCGTTTAAAATTTTAAAAAGAAAAAATTTTCCGATTTTAGATTTTCTTTCCAAGTTATTTCAAGAGGTTTCTCAACAACCACTAAGCCAAATTCAATGAGCTTTTTTTATTTTAATTTTACAAATATATAGAACCAAAATAAAACGGTTTACTAAATTTGATCGAATGGTTACTGAGAAATCGTCGCAAATTGGCTCCGGAATTAAATCGGAAAGGATCTATAATGATGGGATTTTCTTGACCCAAAATCGGCAAATTTTTTCTTAACGTTAATGATTATTTCTATCCATATATCCAAAATTCAATGAATTTTTTTTTTTTTTGATATAAAAAATTTTTTACTGACCGTAAATTCTCAAAATAGCAGGCATGGGCGTTGTTTTGAGTTTTGGTCCGAATTAAGCTTAATTTAGGCCAAATTTCGTAATTTTACCCCTGGGCGTTATTTCGAGAATTTACGGTAGATGAGAAATATGCATGTGCTTAGTTATGCAAGTTACAGATCATCACGTAACAATTGTCTAAGTACTCTAGCCGCGATGAATTTTTTCAACTTTGAGAAAAAATATCTCAATAACTATTTACTTCAGACAATAATTTTTTTAATTTTAATTCCATGAATCTATAGAATTAAAATAAAAAAAAACTCACCAATTTTAGATATATAATTATTGATATATAATTTCTCAAAGTTTGGAAAAATACTTGGCTGTGGTTTGTTTTGATAATCGCATAAATTTTTTGAACTTTTAGTGATGATAACTAAATAAATATTTGTCTAAATTCGATGAAATATTTATTGTTAATTCTACGACTCCATAAAGTTAAAAAAAAATTTTTTTTATCGATTTTAGATAGGTAGTTATCGAGCTATCATCACTTAAAGTTTGAAAAAAACTTAACTACGGTCTTTGATAATCACCTAAATTTTTTTGGACTTTGAGCGATAATATCTCAACAACTACCTATTTAAAATGGATAAAAATTTTTTAATTCTATTGATTAATAGAATTAAAATTAAACAATTTTTATGGAATTTTGATAAGCAGTTATTAAGATATCATTGCCCGAAGTTCAATAAAATTTAGGCGATTATCAAAACAAGTTTTTTTTCAAACTTTGAGCAGATATCGATAATTATATATCTAAAATTGTTGAATTTTTTTTTTATTTTAATTCTATAGATTCATAGAATTAAAATCAAAAAAAATTTTATTGCCTTAAATAAATAGTTATTGAGATATTTTTTGTTAAAGCTGAAAAGCTAGAGTACTTAGACAATTGTTACGTGATGATCTGCAACTTGCATAACTTTCCGAATGCGAGAAATATCGATTAAAAGCCAAAAAAAAAAATTTGGCCGCAGCCTTTTTTTTTACGGATATCTAAACATTAAACAAGGATAACTCTGCACTTTCCTAAAAAAATTCGATCAATTTTTTTTTTTTATTTTAATTCTGTGAGACTATAGAATTAAAAATTGATCGAATATTAGGCCACGCGAAGTTAAATTTTCGTTTTGCATTAGGCCACACAAAGTTAATTTTTCGTTTCGCATTACCCGCCGACCATTTTTTCAATTTTTCGAATTTTCTTTTTAGGTTCCAATTGTGCCAATTGTTCTATTTTTGCCATTTAATTTTCCCATAAATTATTCCAGTATCACCCGATAGAGACCTTATTTTTCCGGAATTGTCCGATCGAACTGATAAAAAAATTCGATTGCCAACCCAATTTTCTGATTCCATGTTATGTAAGGCGAAAAATTAACTATGCGAGGCCTTAAATTTGAATATGAGTCTATTATTTACTGTAGAATTAAAAAAAAAATTCCGACCGCCGACCGTTGATTCTGAAATCCATG